AAGGACTTGTGTCGCTAAAGTTTCGTCGGAACGAATTTACGGAAATTAACTAACGAACAGAGACGTAACAGTATATTCAATACATTACCATTTCAGTTAAGTAATGTTTAATAATTATCTAACGATAATTAGAGATAAATCGGACCCGAGTGAGAAGAAATACATTTAGTTTACAATTCCATCTCTGCAAATAAAGCTTGATTTTACAAACTTCGGAGAAATTGTTTTTAACAACTCAGTAGTATGAGCCTTATACTTTCGTTTTACATTAAAACGTTCAACGAATTCACAGTTGTTAATTGTTGTGTTGTTTTTTTTAACGCAAAAGTACAGGTCGTGGTATCTGAGCTATAACCAACAAGAGGAATCAAACGCCGGATTATAGCATTGTACGTTTGAAGACTTAACGTTAAACCACCATGGGACAAAATCATAGGTCTCATGATGGTATTTGTGATAAGAATATTCAATTTTCGTCTTTTCTACAAATGCTCGTGCACCTTAATATCTAAATGCGAGTGCCGCACACTGCACTCCAACGGATATAAACCAGATGTAAATATACTTTAATGGCATTTTGTGCAACAACATATTGAAATGTCTAATGTCAGGTCGTAGAATAACATTATAAGTTTATTTATTGATAGTATTAACCACGGTAAAGTTTAGCCCTAATTCAACTAAAGCAAAAAAACGTACACAAGTTACAGGATTACTTTATCTCTTTTATCGAATATAGGCAGTTAGGCCTAACGTTAGTTAAGCTTTTATTAACTTTAATGTTAGGCCTAAGACAAGTGGATTTATAGATTTCGGTGTCTACGATTAGAATTATTTTGTATTACTCTAGAAATCCTGATGCAATAAAGATGCTGATATTTTGCACCCACGGCAAGTATCATGTTATTCTATGGTTTAAAATTTAATATAATTTTATCCATTAAAAAAAAAAATTTATAATCCTGCTGAAAATCTCACAAACGTACAAATATATATTGTTACGACAGCGGAAGTCACATGAC